CTGAAATAAAAGCGAGTTTTGTCATCAGCTGCGTGCTTCAGGGCTGCATCCGGCGTCAGGGACAGAAAGGCAGACAGAGGAGACGGGCCAGCCATTAAAAAACTCCACGCCACTCATCTCTCTGTTGTTATCACGAGCTAAACTGCAGCCAGGGGAACGGTAAGACAAGAAACTGCGGATTAAAAATCAAGACTAATCATTAGTCTGGAGGTATGCTGAAAGCATGACATTTCAAAGGGAAAAAAAAATACTAAAAAGTGAAATCTGCTTGCAAAATTAAACTTTACCTAAAAAAACCAGACTATGCATAATTTAGCAGTATTTTCTATATAAAAACTGGAAGGTAAAAATTCTCCACTTTGAATTGTTCTATAGACTTCATCTACACGCTGCCCTGGTACCCAGGGGAGGGGAAGATACCAGTGTTCAGCCAAGAAAGCATCAAGACTGCCTTTTAAACAGAAGGGAAAGTTAGACCTATAAAAGCTGTAATCGCCTAATAAAGCACATTAGGAAATAAAGAATTCACCTGAAATACTCATTAGAGATTCTATGGCGGAGAAGTGCAGTGGTACTGATCCCTGGAGGTATTTCTTTGCCAAAGCTCCTCTTGTGTTCATTCCAACAAGAGATATTTTACATGAGCGGTTTCTCCCCTCCCAAAAGCCAGCTTTTCAGCATCCTCAGATCTACAGGAGCCCAAGACGAGAGTGCCGCAGTTTCCCTCCGGGTCGCTGTCAGCTCCCCAGCTGGATTTGAGGGGCAGATTGCTCTTCCTGCTCCCCACGGGCTCTTCCAAACGGTCGCTATCTTCCACGCTTGAAGAGTATTTTTGGTGTTATTCGGTGAGACATCTTGCACATCCCAGCCGCAAAGAAGGTTTCTCTTACACAGCTTCGTGATGTTTGAGGCGCTGTTGGCCAACCCTTCAAGGCTTCTCCCGGCTCAGGGAAGATTTCCCCGGCCCGGGTATTTCTGGACAGGCGCCCGCGGGGTTGTTACTGGGGGGACAACCTTTGGGGACCAGCAAGCAGCAAGAGCAGCGTTCTCTTCAGGCTGCGCCCTGGAAGAAGCCACTTCACGGGCCAGTCAGATACGAAACGAGCTCTTTATTGAAAACAAGGTTTGCATCTCAGCAAAGGGTTTACAAACCATTGCAAGAACGACGGGAGTAAGCAACGTACCAAAGTCAATTCGTAACACTTCTTCTCATTGGACTGACAGTACCAGCAGTGGCTCCAGCATCGCACAAACGGGAACAGCTCCACCTACGAATCGCAGAACACTTCTAGAAGACAAATAGCATTCACATAGAGGGAAGAGTCACAACATAAAAGAAGTTTTCTGACCACTTTTCTTCATAACGTGATGACATTCGTATTTTAATATTGAGAACAGGGATTAAACACAGGCCAAGAGAGCAAAAAAGTCCTTCAGAAGACGTCGTTTGTACAATAGCAGCTTTTATTGAAAAGGCAGGTTTTGTTTCAAGTGTAATTAGTCTGACACGTGGCTAAGTAGAAATCAGAGCATTCCTCGGGTTTTCATGAGCTGCTTCTCAACCTTAGGTCAAACTTCACCATCCCTTCACGTACTGCACGAGTCTCACGGCAGGAGCTGCTCAGAGCAAACCCCGGTGACGAGAAGCTGCTGCCAGCGAGGAGCAGCCAGCAGCACGGTCACACGCAGGACGTAACGATCCCCCCGCCGCAACCAACCT